TTGTTCCACCTTGTGAAGTTAAAGGCAAAGGATGACCCAGTGCTAACTTCCTGGCTGACTCCCTGCCATGATTATGTAAGTCCCCAGTGCCAAAATGAATACTTGACTTTGTTTGGCCACACAATTGTGAGAGGAATTGCTGCAATGATTAGGTCCCTCCCTGTTGTCCAATTTTCTATCATTATGGATGGAACCCAGGACATCCAGGGCAAAGAGCAGGTCTCTATATGCCTGAGGTATGTTAATCAAGACCTGGTGCCAGTGGAAGTATTTATCGGCTTGTATGATACACCATCTACAACTGGTGAACAGATGGCAAAACTAGCTCTGGACATGCTTCTCAGACTGAACCTACCTATCTCAGGTGTGTGAGGACAGACGTATGACGGGGCAGCAAATATGGCAGGCCTTTTTTCTGGCGCCCAGGCAGTGCTCAAAAAGGAGCAGCCCCTGGCATTGTATGTACATTGTGGCGCACATTGTGTCAACTTAATTACCCAATGTGCATGCAATTCTTCACCCTTACTGCGTGACGCACTTCAGTGGGTCCATGAACTTGGAACACTGAGCAACCAATCTGGCAAATTTAAAGGCATTCTGGCACAGCATACTGTTCCAGAGGGGCCCACCAGGACAGTTAAACCACTCTGTCCCACAAGATGGACTGTCCGTGGGCAAGCTGTGCAGGTAGTCTTCAATGAATATGAGGCTATCCTAAACAGTCTGGAGGAAATGGCCTCACTTGGTTACGACACAAGCACTAGGGCAAATGGTCTATTGGAGCGATTCCAAAAAGGGAAGACCATTTTACGCCTCAATTTAGCCACATAGGTGCTCGGAGAGCTTGAGTGTTTGAATAAATCCCTGCAGAGTCATTCCCAAACCATTGCCGGTATGCAGACTGCAGTTCAATATGTAAGCTCAGCTATTCAGGAGAAAAGGACTGATGCAAAGTTTGCAGAATTGTTTGAGAAGTCATCGCAGATGGTGGATACTTTGGAGACTGAAGCCATTGAAATTCCCCACCAAAGGAAACCCCCCAGGAGATATACTGGTCAGGCTAGTCATCATCAGTCAAAGACAGCAGAGGAATTCTACAGGATTGAGTTTTTCAAGGTCTTGGACTGTTTGGATATGCAGTTCAAAGACAGATTCAACCAACCTGATCTGGAGAAATTAAAACAGGTTGAGGATGTGCTCCTCACCGGTAAGGTTAATGACACTATTGGGGAGTACCCAGAGATTAACAGGGAGAATCTGGGGATTCAACTTTCCATGTTCCTTAACAAACATCCACTAAAATCAAGTGCAGAAGCAGCAGAGATACTGAGAGAGATGCCCAGGGAAGTTCGTGGCCTATTCAATGAGGTGGAGACGCTTGTTAGGCTGTTATTGGTGATTCTTGTGGCCTCAGCGGAAGCTGAAAGAAGCTTCAGTGCTTTGAAAAGGCTGAAAAACTGGCTGAGGTCGACAATGACCCAGCAGCGCCTTAACAACATCAGTGTATGCCATGTGCATCAAACAGCACTGGACCTCATTGATATCAAGCAAATTGGGCAGCAGTTTGTGTCTGTAAATGACAGACGGAGGCATGTGTTTGGTGCATTTAAATTTTGCCAGTTGATAAAGACAGACACACATGAGTATGCAACAAACATTGCAATAATACAGAGAATTTTATTCATGTTTATTTTTTTTGTTAGGGCAATATATTATTTTATTTTATTATTGATTTCTTCTTATCTGCCAAGATAAGAAGAAATGTCAAGGTCCCCACCAAGGTCCCTGCTTAAAACCTTCTATGATTCTGTGGTGGCATCAGCCCTCCTCTATGCTGTTTTCTGCTGAGTCCCTGGCGGCATAGAGCGGGCGAGAAAGAGACTAAACAAACTGGTGAGAAAGGCTGCTTCTGTCCTAGGCTGCACTCTAGACTCATTGGAGAAAGTGGCTGAGAGGAGGGTGCTGTCCAAGTTTCCAGACATCATGGAAAACACCTTCCACTCTCTGCACCAGAATGTAGAGAAGCTGAGCAGCTCCTTTAGTCAAAGACTTTTACACCCTGTTTGCAAAAGGAGCGCTACCGCAGGTCATTCATCCCTGGCAAAAGCTTGTGCAATGTATAACGTGCAATTACTATTTAATACCCTGTGCAATAACCTGTTTCTCTATAATTGACACCCAGTGCAATAACTATATATATAAACATAACCCTGCATAATGATGCAAAAAAAAAGAAAAAAAAAAAGAAAGAAAGCTGTCATATGTAGACGCACTGTATACTAGAGTCCTGCACGGGTCGAGTTTTACCAACCCATACCCGCCCGAACCAGTTAGGATGACTACCGCACCCGACCCGTCACCCGCGGATATCTTCAATTCAAATCCGAATCCGACCCGACCCGTTGATATTTAACCCGCAACCCGACCCGTTAACACATCAAGTAATAGGCTATAGTACGCTGCGCTGCAGAACAGCGCCATTAACACTGCAGCAGACGTGTATGCACTGACTGTGGCCTTTTTGGAGGGAAGCCCACACTGCCGGCAGGGCTTTAAGCTACAACAAGGGTGACCCCAGTGCCTGATTAATATAACATTTCTGATGTCCATAACAACACACACGCATAAAAAAAAATCACCAACTACCCGCCCGCGAAAAAAAATATCCACCCGACCCCCGACCCGTTTATTTTTATTTATGTATTTTTCACCTGCAAAAGAGCATTTTTGCGGGTGACCCGTCGGGGACCCGTGGGTACCCGTATGTACCTTGTGTATGTACCTGTACACTGTATGTATCCCATGGACCTTTTTCTTCCTTTGGCACATTCTACTTCTTTGACTATTAAAACTGATGTAATGAGTAAATTTCTCAACTGTGAGATCAATAAAGACAATCAATCAATAAAAATCTTAGAACACTGATACTGCAGAGTGTTAGCATGCTAGAAATTTTCTCAATATCTGTGCGCTGCTAAAGGGAAACTTGTGTAGAAATACTTTATATTGCTAAAAAAAACAAACTGTCAGGATAAGAGGTGAAGCAGGACAAGTAGGATTACTTTGGCTGTGTTTGTTAGTCATTGTTTTATAAAGCAATGGTTGAAGTATTAGGTGAATGGCCTATAAATAAAGACATATTCATCACTTTGACACACATTTGCTGTTTCATAGCATCAGTAGATTGATTTAACTTATTATAAAAAAATAAGCACATCACATTGCATAGTCATTATAAAGTAAATGAAGTCTCTCAATTATCTAATATAACATATATAAATCCATCACAATAAAATTAATGTGTTAATAGAGCATAATAATACTGATGAGGGAAAAGTGTTACATTGATTATGTACATGTAATATTGTGTATTTATTACATTGTTACGGTAATTACATCTTACATGTCTGATAATGCATATATATATATATGGGTCAAATGTTCAAGTTGCTTTTTCTTCTGTCAATATAATATGATTCTTTTTCAAATGAGAAATACAACAAACCATACAAAAATGAGAGTGTCATCCACTTAATAAAGAATTACTACATTTACATTTCAGGGGGAAATACTTTCTATTTACTCTCTTTACTTTTAAACGTTAGACACAATGTCAGTGGCTAACTCAGTCAATACCTTTAAGTCAGCCGAGATAGTCAAATTAATGATATGCTACATACCATACTATGGGATACATCGGCGTATATGTGGATTTATTGGTTCAACCACTGACTGTGAAATTGCCTCTGGATTACCTCCTACAGCCGGCAAACTGCAGCCAAATGCTACACATGTAGGCTTTTTTACTGCGTGTCTGTGGGAGGCGGACGGTGGCTTTACTTTTTGCAAGTTGTTAACTGAGCTGTCATGTGGATATATCAGAAATGTTACTGTTTTTTTGTGATTTGAAATATACTTCTACTTCTTCACTCCTTAGTTGCTGTTTGTGAGTTATTTTGGGGTGGTTACTACAGGTTTACTAAGAAAGTCAGAAAGGTAAACTAAAGAAAAACCCATATTAGAGCCTAGTTTGGAAATACCCCATGCCAATCTTTGATGATTTTCACTTATTTAGGTGACAGAGAGGGGGGGGGGGGGGGGGGGGGGGGGGGCACTACATACAGTGTAATAATTTTAGGGATTTACTGACTGAAGTGTAGTAATATATTAATCTTAAGTATGTTATGAGCCTCCTGGCCCTGTGGGGTCCCCACTAGAGGGTGGTGCTACCCTTGGACCTCGGACCCCTGGACTCTCATATAGGTCCATCTTTGGCGTAAGGTTGGCATTATCACCCCTCTAGGACTGGGCCCTTTTGGGCCTCTCATCTCTCCCCCTGTCTGGTCAGTGTGACCATTCCTATATCTGCCTTCCTTGTGTCCCAGTGATCTGGGGTGCCTCTGGATATCTGTGGCCAGCATCACCTTTTTATCATTCTGGGCCCTGTTGGGTGACTCTGGGGCTGCACACACCTGCTTTATAGCATTTTTATCTGACAGCAATTGTATCAGATGTCATATTAATGTTGCAGATTTGACTCATATGTTTTGGTCTTGCCATATGTAGATAGGCTGTTGGTCTGATGTATTTGATGTATTGTCGAAACTATTTGGAGTCACTTTACAGGCCTGTGCATTGATAGCATTATTTACTAAACAAGGAAGCAAATTGAACTAAGAACCAACAAAACATTATAGCATTTGTTTCTCTCCTTGGACGAAGGGAGATTTTACTTTACTGGAAGTGCGCCACCTACTGTCGCTCAGTGGTTAAAAGATGTAATGCTATTTTTGCACTTGGAAAAAAATCAAATTTTCTATAACACAGACAAATTTCAATCTGTTTGGGAACTCTTTCTATCATACTTTAGCGGCCTCCAGGAACTCCCACCAACATTGCAATAAATTGAAAGATTCCATGGTTTTAATTTAAAAATTTTAGCATATATGTAACTGGTTCCCTTCTGCGTTGTGCTGGTTATTGGTAATTAGTCAGGCCGTGACTCGGTTTGGCTTTCTTCGATTTATTCTGACGAAAACATTAAAGAGAAAAGCAATCGTTTTACAAGCTGCCCGCTCCAAGTCCTCTCCCGCAGGACAACATGACAAAAGGGCGATCATGTCTCATAACATTAAACAAAATAAACCTTCTTTACACAACATACCTGACGAAAACATTAAAGAGAAAAGCAATCGTTTTACAAGCTGCCCGCTCCAAGTCCTACACAAGCAAAAATACATAACAGAAATTAACTTAATAAATCTATAAATAAACTGGAAGTATTTAGATAGGAAATAAATAGGACACACCTCTCCCGCAGGACAACATGACAAAAGGGGAGGGCCTAAGGGACACAAACATTTTAAAGACAAAACCATAAAAGAAGAAATAAAAAGGAGGGGCTACCGTTCTTAAACTAACACGTTCAAAACAATGACAGCTTTTCGGTCAGGTAGAGAACAATACAAACAACCAAAAAAAGAAGACATTTTGTGTAATTATAACAACAACCAGGTTACATATACAAAGGTACACTCTGGAATGGATTTTAATCACTCACTGTTTTAATTTGTTTTTTCTGATGTACATTTAACATTTAACCAACAAAAACTGAAGTCTACTGTTGGTCCGGTTTCTTTTGATTCATTATTTTTACTATAATTGTTATTAATTTGGGTCCAGTCGGGGTGTGGGGAGGGATGGGAGGGGGGTGATTTTTGAATGTTGATAAAATTTGAAAAACTAAAAGTCTTTTGTAACCATGATGATGTTTTATTATATCTACCTCTGACTTTTCAATAAAAAGATTTAATAAAAACAAAAAATTTGGGAAGATTTTGTTACTGTTAAGATGCGCCTCTATCTGTGGGGATCCTCATAACATCTACAGAGATTTCCTTTGCACATCCAATAAATAGCCTCCTGCCGACTCTGCTGGGCGACTAATAGGCTTCAATTTGTCGCTCATCATCTTTTTTGTTCCTCCTGTCCTGTAATGAAACTGTCTACCTTTAGCTGAACACACGACTTCAAAGGAGGAAAACAGTCTCCTGCTAATGGGAGGTTTATTTAGAGCTGTAAGATTTAGCTTTGACTAACATTCTGTTTGTGTGTGCGTGTGTGTGTGTGTGTGTGGGGGGGGGGGGGTGTCTGGGGGGGAAAAAAACAAATATGATAAGAGAGAGTAAAGAGGAGGATGTGAAACAATTAAAGCAGGTAACAACGGTAATGAACAGTTATATACTTTGCTAATTTCTTCTTCTCTTTTGTGCCGTTGCGGTTTAAAAAAATAGAGAGAGAGGAAACCTGCACTGTGCAAAATGACATGTCCAATATATCAAGATTTCAATTATTTATTATGGTAAATGAACACATTTGGATGCTTTATACATCGGGTAAAAGTGAAAAAAAAAAGCAAGGTATTTCACATTTTCGATTCAGTTAACGCCTTATCACTCTTATCAGGTGATCAAAAATTATCGCCATTAATCTATTTTCACAATTGGGTTGAGAGCGGACTGGGAAGATTACTTTCACCTTGATATTTTAGCGTAGATGTATATCTGGGGGTGAGAACAAATCAGTAGAGGCATACAGTGAAACTGCCACACTGAATGTGACATGCTGACATGGATCCGCCGTCGGGTTTAATTCAGGGAAAATTTACTTTTAAGAAGCTTCCTGATGAGGGCTGCTCAGTGGGACAGTGGGTAGCACTACTGCCTCGCAGCAAGAAAGTTCTGGGTTTGATGCCTGGCCTGGGGTTTTTCTGTTTGCATGAGTTTGCATGTTCTCCCTGAGCATGCTTGGGTTCTCTCCGGGTACTCTGACTTCCTCCCACAGTCCAAAAACATGACTGTTAGGTTCATTGGCTTCTCTAAAGTCACCTTAGGTGTGTTTGAATGGTTGTTTGTCTCTGTGTGGCCCTGCGATCGAGTGGCGTCCATAGTGCACCCCGCCTCTCGCCTGTACACAGCTGCAGATAGGCACCAGCACACCTCACAACCCTGCTTTGGATAAGCGCGATGGAAAATGGATGGATGGAAGCTTCCTGATGAAAAACATTAAGACTAAATCATTTAGATCCTTCAGGGTTCCTGCGGATGCTTAAAACGTCTTAAAAGGCATTGATTTCTTCGACATAAAGCTATGGCCTTAATTGGTATTAAAATGTCTTAAATCAGTCTTTCATAGTTTATAAATTGTTACCACGTCATAAATAGGATTTACTTTTATAATCCATATCAAACATTAAAATAATTGACAATACTTTTTATTATTTTAGTTTCTCCCCGATAGCGTAACCAATGAAACCAATGTTGCTACCAGACCTGTAAGTTCAACAAAAATTGGCTATCCATCTAAGAGTTTTCCTGCAGGGCTAAAAACCAGTACCAGGGAATGTATATGGGAAACGGTGTATTTTGTGTAAGAAGTCATTCAAGCTCGGCACGATGGGAATCAAGGCAGTGGAGTCACACACGCAAAGTGTGAAAAACAAAGCATCAAAATCAAGTTACCCAGAATAAACAGGTATTTCTCAGTTCTGTTCCTCCCTCGTCTCTGCAAGGCTTCCACAGCCATCTCTGACAATAGCACCAAATCTCCAGATAATGTTTGGCAGTACGCCTACAACGAAAGCAGAGTTATTGGGGATTTAGAGAAGGGAACAAAAGAAAGTTTGTAAATTCAGTTCAGTAGTTAAACACAAATCTGTGTGTGTGTTTTTAGCTTTCTTCCTATATGGAAAGTCTACTGCACCATAAAGTAATGGTTTATGTTAAAATAAACACTATGGTAAATTAGTTGCTACCCAGTTTTTCTTGTGTTTCTTGTGAAGTTGGTCTTAACGTTTTCTTTCAAATGACATTAAAAGTCTTAAAAAGTACCAACTAAAGGCAAAACATCCCTTAGCCCGGAGTTCTTCATCAAGGGTCCGCTACCCCTAGGAGGTCAACAGAGGTACTGCATGGCGGTCACGGAAGTTTTGATTGATTAGACTTTTTTTTTTATATTCACCCCTGGAATTTTTTCCATTTATTGAAATGTCTTTAAATACACATTAAGAATAATTGAACACACTGTAGTAAACAGATAAATGGAGGCAGAAGATGTCTTTCAGTCATCAATGCAGACATTAAGCGACACACAGGAGCTCTTTCAAGCTGGGAACCGTTTCATTCACAACACCTGTCCCATCAACCAGGAATCAGAATCAGAAATACTTTAATAATCCCAGGGAGGAATTACTTAGATTAGATTAGATGAGCTTTGTTGATCTCACAGCGGAGAAATTCACTCGTCACATATTGGCATAGTAATTAAAGAAGGTGCAAACAAGGAGGAAGAAGGTGCATTAAGAAGAATAAACAATATATATATATATATATATATATATATATATATATATATATATATATATATATATATATATATATATATATATATATATATACAGAGTATATCCAGGTATATAAAGTATATGACCCCATACAATACATATAATTAGGGGGTTCCGGCTCCATCTCACCATCACCTCTCCAAGCTAGTTCTGGGTATAAAGTGGAACAAGCAGAGCTGGATATGTGCTGCGCGAAATCATTGTAGGTTTAATTAGCTCCTCTTGTGTCCATTTAATAGACGCACACATTATGAAAAAGCTTAATGAGGAGAGGTGAGTGGGGAGGGGTTGTAATCCTTGGTGGCGTGAAATAAGGCCGGTTGATACATGTATGACATATTAACAACAGGCTCGATTTCAGCTACGCAGCATTCCTGCTGCGTCACCAAAGAGCCCAAGAAGCAGAGAAGCAGGTTTAGATGCAGAAAGCAGCTTCAGCTGGGAGTCAGAGGAAGGACTCAGTCCAGCAAAGAAAGGCAGCCATTTTTTACAGAGGTTACAGGATCGACTTGATGCATGGGGGTGTCAGTGACAATGACTCACTCTAAACCCCGCAGTAAAAGAACAGAGGGGGTCACGTTAACATTACATTTCTATTTCTGAGAGCCATAATTCACAGAAGGTTGACCCCCCACTGTGCCAAATGTTTCATGAGCAGTGGGAGTAAGAGCAGCTGCCAAGATATGCAAAAGTCTTATTTGAAACTGAAAGAAGGGGTTTGAACCAAAGCAGGGTTGGAGTGAAGGGGTGGGGGGTCATTATTTTATTATTTCCACGCACCAAACGGGAGGAAAGAAAAAGTTGCACTGTGGGGGTCCCTTGCTGCTAGCATGTGGTGCTATGCCTGTCAGAAAGAAGAGGAGGTCAATTTACTGTTGACTACTGGCATTAAAATGCAAGTCTACAATTTTGAGCTTGAGTTTTTCATGGTGAGGACCTGCAGACTTCTGTAGAAAAGAAAGGAAGCATAGAAAACAGTGAAGAGTTTTAAGGCAGTTCTGATCAGGGCTGCACTGGGACCCAAAAAAATGGTTGCAGCATGTGTGGTCATGGCCATCCGCCATTATTAGTTATACATCATGAAGACGCTGATATCCATTAACTGGATGCCGGGCCGTTGGTAGTACATGGTGTTGTGAGATCACCAGCCACCATACCCTGACTGACCATAGGGAGAACTGGGAGTATTCCCGAAGCGCCGGCCTGGGATTGGCCTGATAGCCTGCATATTTTTCATACCATTAGTTCATGCCATTACTTTTAACTGACAGGGGGCTCAGTCAAAAGTAATAATGATTGACAAGTGAAATGTACAATAAATGAAATGAAGACTATTTTACTTAATGTTTTAATTTGAAATTTAATTTTTATATATTACATTTATGCTTTCCATGTAATATAAAAAAAATAACATAAGGTTCCTGGAACTAAGTCAGGAATTGAAATAAATACAAAATACAATCCTATTATAAACCTGTATTAATAAAACTGGAGCTGCTCTGAGCTCCCTTATAATCACATTTTAACTTCATGAATTGGGAACAAAAATTATAGTCAGATGGACTTAATTTGTTTTCCTTTTGTTTTCATTAAGACACCTGAGTTCCTTTGACGTAGCTCTGATAGCTCAGTGTGTAAAACAGCTGATCCCAGGCTGTTCTATACATCCAGTCTGTTCCTCTGCTTGGTTTAGATGGGTGTCAAAGCTGAACTCTATCTTTAATCTTTAATTTTTCAGTTGGTTCCTCAGAAGGAAAACCAGATCGCAGCCCTGTTTTATTTTACTACCTAAGAAATCAGTCATATCAGTCAGTTATGTAACCAGGTCAGGGTGGCCTCTTTACATGACTGACTCCTGGCATGATGAAATCTCCCAGTCCGGCCCTGCCAGCCGCCATATTGCTACTTTACAAAATACTGTTAGATCGGTCAGAATG